ATACATGTACCATGTTCCACACAACACCTGTATAACCTGATACATGTACCATGTTCCACACAACACCTGTATAACCTGATACATGTACCATGTTCCACACAACACCTGTATAACCTGATACATGTACCATGTTCCACACAACACCTGTATAACCTGATACATGTACCATGTTCCACACAACACCTGTATAACCTGATACATGTACCATGTTCCACACACCACCTGTATAACCTGATACATGTACCATGTTCCACACAACACCTGTATAACCTGATACATGTACCATGTTCCACACAACACCTGTATAACCTGATACATGTACCATGTTCCACACAACACCTGTATAACCTGATACATGTACCATGTTCCACACAACACCTGTATAACCTGATACATGTACCATGTTCCACACAACACCTGTATAACCTGATACATGTACCATGTTCCACACAACACCTGTATAACCTGATACATGTACCATGTTCCACACAACACCTGTATAACCTGATACATGTACCATGTTCCACACAACACCTGTATAACCTGATACATGTACCATGTTCCACACAACACCTGTATAACCTGATACATGTACCATGTTCCACACAACACCTGTATAACCTGATACATGTACCATGTTCCACACAACACCTGTATAACCTGATACATGTACCATGTTCCACACACCACCTGTATAACCTGATACATGTACCATGTTCCACACAACACCTGTATAACCTGATACATGTACCATGTTCCACACAACACCTGTATAACCTGATACATGTACCATGTTCCACACAACACCTGTATAACCTGATACATGTACCATGTTCCACACAACACCTGTATAACCTGATACATGTACCATGTTCCACACAACACCTGTATAACCTGATACATGTACCATGTTCCACACAACACCTGTATAACCTGATACATGTACCATGTTCCACACAACACCTGTATAACCTGATACATGTACCATGTTCCACACAACACCTGTATAACCTGATACATGTACCATGTTCCACACAACACCTGTATAACCTGATACATGTACCATGTTCCACACAACACCTGTATAACCTGATACATGTACCATGTTCCACACAACACCTGTATAACCTGATACATGTACCATGTTCCACACAACACCTGTATAACCTGATACATGTACCATGTTCCACACAACACCTGTATAACCTGATACATGTACCATGTTCCACACAACACCTGTATAACCTGATACATGTACCATGTTCCACACAACACCTGTATAACCTGATACATGTACCATGTTCCACACAACACCTGTATAACCTGATACATGTACCATGTTCCACACAACACCTGTATAACCTGATACATGTACCATGTTCCACACAACACCTGTATAACCTGATACATGTACCATGTTCCACACAACACCTGTATAACCTGATACATGTACCATGTTCCACACAACACCTGTATAACCTGATACATGTACCATGTTCCACACAACACCTGTATAACCTGATACATGTACCATGTTCCACACAACACCTGTATAACCTGATACATGTACCATGTTCCACACAACACCTGTATAACCTGATACATGTACCATGTTCCACACAACACCTGTATAACCTGATACATGTACCATGTTCCACACAACACCTGTATAACCTGATACATGTACCATGTTCCACACAACACCTGTATAACCTGATACATGTACCATGTTCCACACAACACCTGTATAACCTGATACATGTACCATGTTCCACACAACACCTGTATAACCTGATACATGTACCATGTTCCACACAACACCTGTATAACCTGATACATGTACCATGTTCCACACAACACCTGTATAACCTGATACATGTACCATGTTCCACACAACACCTGTATAACCTGATACATGTACCATGTTCCACACAACACCTGTATAACCTGATACATGTACCATGTTCCACACAACACCTGTATAACCTGATACATGTACCATGTTCCACACAACACCTGTATAACCTGATACATGTACCATGTTCCACACAACACCTGTATAACCTGATACATGTACCATGTTCCACACACCACCTGTATAACCTGATACATGTACCATGTTCCACACAACACCTGTATAACCTGATACATGTACCATGTTCCACACAACACCTGTATAACCTGATACATGTACCATGTTCCACACAACACCTGTATAACCTGATACATGTACCATGTTCCACACAACACCTGTATAACCTGATACATGTACCATGTTCCACACAACACCTGTATAACCTGATACATGTACCATGTTCCACACAACACCTGTATAACCTGATACATGTACCATGTTCCACACAACACCTGTATAACCTGATACATGTACCATGTTCCACACAACACCTGTATAACCTGATACATGTACCATGTTCCACACAACACCTGTATAACCTGATACATGTACCATGTTCCACACAACACCTGTATAACCTGATACATGTACCATGTTCCACACAACACCTGTATAACCTGATACATGTACCATGTTCCACACAACACCTGTATAACCTGATACATGTACCATGTTCCACACAACACCTGTATAACCTGATACATGTACCATGTTCCACACAACACCTGTATAACCTGATACATGTACCATGTTCCACACAACACCTGTATAACCTGATACATGTACCATGTTCCACACAACACCTGTATAACCTGATACATGTACCATGTTCCACACAACACCTGTATAACCTGATACATGTACCATGTTCCACACAACACCTGTATAACCTGATACATGTACCATGTTCCACACAACACCTGTATAACCTGATACATGTACCATGTTCCACACAACACCTGTATAACCTGATACATGTACCATGTTCCACACAACACCTGTATAACCTGATACATGTACCACACAACACCTGTATAACCTGATACCATGTTCCACACAACACCTGTATAACCTGATGCCATGTTCCACACAACACCTGTTTAACCTGATACATGTACCACACAACACCTATATAACCTGATACCATGTTCCACACAACACCTGTATAACCTGATACATGAACCATGTTCCACACACCTGTTTAACCTGATACATGTACCACAGTTCCACACAACACCTGTATAACATGATACATGAACCATGCTCCACACAACACCTGTATAACCTGGTGCCATGTTCCACACAACACCTGTAGTATAACCTGATACATGTACCACACACCACCTATATAACCTGATACCATGTTCCACACACCACCTGTATGACCTGATACATGTACCATGTTCCACACAACACCTGTATAACCCGATACATGTACCATGTTCCACACAACACCTGTATAATCTGATACATGTACCACACAACACCTGTATAACCTGATACCATGTTCCACACAACACCTGTATAACCTGATACATGTACCATGTTCCAAACAACACCTGTATAACCTGATACATGAACCATGTTCCACACAACACCTATATAATGCAACATTTGTATAATCTGATATTCTTTCTAAAATTAATTCTATAATCTGACATTATGTCTGACAGAACACCTTTATAATCAGACATTCTGTCTGCCAGCACATCTGTAAATCTGACATTCTGTCTGCCAGCTCATCTGTGTAATCTGACATTATGACTTCCAAAACAACTGTATCATCTAACATTCTGTCTGACAGACTACCCGTATAATCTGACATTCTGTCTGACTGAACACCTGTATAATCTGATATTCTGTCTGACAAAACACCTGTATAATCTGACATTCCGTCTGACAGAATACCTGTATAATATGACATTATGTCTAACAGAATACCTGTATAATCTGACATTATGTCTGACTGAACACCTGTATAATCTGACATTATGTCTGACAGAACACCTGTATAATCAGACATTCTGTCTGCCAGCTCATCTGTGTAATCTGACATTATGTCTTCCAAAACAACTGTATCATCTAACATTCTGTCTGACAGAACACCTGTATAATCGTACATTCTGTTTGACAGAACACCTGTATAATCTGACATTATGTCTGACAGAACACCTGTATAATCTGACATTATGTCTGACAGAACACCTGTATAATCTGACATCCTGTCCAATAGAACACCTTCATAATCTGACATCCTGTGTGACAGAACACTTGTATACTCCGACGTTCTGTCTGACAGACTACCTGTATAATATGACATTCTGTTTGACAGAACACCTGTATAATCTGACATTATTTCTGGCAGAACACATGTGTAATCTGACATCCTGTCCAATAGAACACCTGTATAATCGTACATTCTGTTTGACAGAACACATTTATATTTTGGCATTATGTCTGACAGACTACCTGTATAATCTGACATTCTGTATGACTGAACACCTGCATAATCTGATATTCTGTCTGACAAAACACCTGTATAATCTGACATTCTGTTTGACAGAACACCTGTATAATCTGACATTATGTTTGACAGAACACCTGTATAATCTGACATTCTAACAAATACCTTTGTTACCTGACAATCTATTAAAACATTTATATTATGTGATAATTGTCCAATAAAACACCAGTGTATCTGACAGTCTAAAACAACACCTGTACAAACTGACACCCTGTCTAACATAACACTTGACGTAATGGACACCCTCCATGTCCGTGTCGACTGAACTGTATATGTATATTAATCATGAATATTTAACAACAATTCGGCACCATGTCAGCGATGTGATTGTGAACCCGTTATGAATATTACAGTAATACGATGGTGTCACTTTACCGGTGACGACACTAAAATCAATCCCGTAAAATAGCCATCACGACTACACAGATAACACACGTATTGTAAACCTATTACCAACTGTCAGGAATCACTAACCGATCTCCAAGGCCAGGTTAGCGGATAAACTACTCTCCTTTACAGAGTATGTAGAGAATATTCCTAAAATATAATTTAATCTCTTACCTGAAGTTCGCAGTAATCATGGAATTGTGTTAATTAAATATTGGTATTCCTATGGTATAGCACTACTGTGGGGGCCGCCATTTTCAAACGCCCCTACTCTCCATGGTTGCGAGTCGTACAATAGACCGAGCCGACTCGGGACAGACCGAACCGGGACAATTTAAACTTGTAGAACTATTAGTGTCGGGCATTTAAACATACACGTAGACAGTTATATGTGTATTCAAACACACACAGACAATTTGACCAAATGTATTGGACATACAATACACACTCGTTTTCTTATTACGAAAACTTTTAACACATTCCGCTATCGCTAAGGGAATATTCTTTCAATTATGTTATTGATCGTTTTAATACTCAATAAATTCTTCCGCCGACATGTAAAGTATGCCTGTCATTAATCCATAGTGGGCAATTTCACAAGCATATATCATTTTAGAACAAGCCAAGCTCATAAAAGTTCCGCACCTTTGCATGTTGTAATAAATGTGTCTTTAATCAGCAGACAACAGTGCATGTGGTTACACTATGCAGTTGGCAGGTTTTATTCTCAGGTAAAAATGAACACATTTAAATGTTGACAAATCATGTCCAAAAGATTATAATGACAAGGGTATTCGATACAATCCAGACACACTAAGATTAAACATGCATTACCCAATAAACCCTTTCTAGGACAAACAGAAAGAAAAAACCCGCAACCATACAAACATGTTCAAGCAAAGAGACATCCTATTGGGATAAAAACACGACATCACTTGCTCAATATTCGTGAAGGAATTGCATTTTTTTTTTTATATATATAATTACGTTATGTAAATAAAACATATTTACGTCAACGATATCACAGTAAGGGACCCCGCAAATTTGTTACAATTGATAGGCTTGAACTTTGCTGATGTGTAGAGGGTTTTATTAAACCGTTTTTAGATTTAAATCAAATATCAGTAAAAACGACACACATAAAGTACATTTGGGTGTCTTTGGGTGTATTTGGTTAAAACTCCTAAAACGTCTAATACGTATTACTATGGTATCTACACATCAGGATATAGGTCCAAACACTTGTGAATGAAATGTGTTATTTCATTTCTTTATTCTAAAGACGCTAAAGTCAATAGTCAACAACATATTTGTAGGACTTTGGACGAAACTGTCAGCCACAAGTGCATCTTCAATAAAGACATAATATACACACAGTTGTAAGCTCACCTCTGTGGATCTCCGTCAGCTAAATCCCCACTTTAAAAATGAAAATGAAAATCCTTTAATGCAAAACCATATACTCACCTGTAGTATTCACCTGTATGGTCCACAATTAAATGTTGCAGATAATCATGCGCAATGGCAATAGAGGATAGTTCTAATACACACACAGGTAAATTGTGTACCTTTGGCAAATGATAAAGTAGTTTCGGTCCCCTTTAAACATTGCTCCGATCGAACGTGAGTTTCTTAACATCGGCCGAATGTCAACAGACGGCTGTCATGGAACACAATCAGCATTATCGATCTGTATTGATTAATTTCGGTACATATCGCTAATATACGTACATAATAAACATATATACACACACTGGAATACCTACCAAAAGTCACTTAACAGGTCACATCTTAACATTTAGATTTGGTTTAAAACTACTTCATGTACACTGAATGTGTATGCTACACTGTCAAGATATGTGTATGAGTTATTTCCCTTGAATTACCTTTTAATTGACATTAGTATTGTCCGAATTTTATTAATATTTAGTCTGAGTTTTTGCATGTATGCTGTTCAAACAAGCGTTTTCCATGAATTTATAATTTTAGTAGAAAATAGATTTGATATTGTGTATCATAACCCCTTAATAGCATTTCAAATCTCCGATTTTAGCCTTTAAGAAACTATAGTATAGTATTGTAATGGCGACTTACATTGGCATGTACTTTTTCGTGCTACCTAATTATAATGGATGTATTTGTTATTAATCAATGGTGATTAAGTTCCTGACTGCATTATTGCTTTCCAGGCACGAACTATAGTAATCCGGACACTTTACATATCCATTAATCCATACATTATTTCTCGTAATCCGGACAAAATATAGTAATCCGGACACCATATATACTCATCTGGATACCATTCATAGCAATTCAGACGCTATATAATACGGACAGTGTACAGTAATTCGGACGCTATGTGCAGTAATTCGGACGTTATGTACAGTAATCCGGACGCTATGTACAGTAATTCGGACGCTATATACAGTAAACCAAAATCTATATAAATAATCCGGACAGCGTACAGTAATTCGGACGCTATGTACAGTAATCCGGTCTTTATGTACAGTAATTCGGACGCTATGTACAGTAATCCGGACGCTATGTACAGTAATTCGGACGCTATGTACAGTAATCCGGACGCTATGTACAGTTATTCGGACGCTATATACAGTAAACCATACTCTATATAAATAATCCGGACAGCGTACAGTAATTCGGACGCTATATACAGTAAACCAAAATCTTTATAAATAATCCGGACAGCGTCCAGTAATTCGGCCGCTATGTACAGTAATCCGGACGCTATGTACCGTAATTAGGACGCTATATACAGTAAACCAAACTCTATATAAATAATCCGGACAGCGTACAGTAATTCGGATGCTATGTACAGTAATTCGGACGCTATGTACAGTAAGTCGGACGCTATGTACAGCAATCCGGACGCTATGTACAGCAATCCGGACGCTATGTACCGTAATTCGGACGCTATATACAGTATACCAAACTCTATACAGTAAACCAAACTCTATATAAATAATCCGGACAGCGTACAGTAATTCGGATGCTATGTACAGTAATTCGGACGCTATGTACAGCAATCCGGACGCTATGTACAGTAATTCGGACGCTATATACAGTAAACCAAACTCTATAGAGTAAACCAAACTCTAAATAAATAATCCGGACAGCGTACAGTCATTCGGACGCTATGTACAGTAATTCGGACGCTATGTACAGTAATTCGGACGCTATGTACAGCAATCCGGACACTATATACAGTAAACCAGACTCTATGTAAATAATCCGGACGCTATGTACAGTAACTCGGACGCTATGTACAGTACTTCGGACACTAGTACAGTAATTCGGACGCTATGTACAGCAATCCGGACACTATATATAGTAAACCCAAGACCATTTACTGTAATCCGGGGACAAAATCCAGTGATCCGAAAACTATCAACAGTACTTCGGAAAGCGCACCTATTTATGTGGTTCCCAGGTGGTCTTGGTTCGCAGTTACTTATACGATATGTCTCTGTAAGTATTAACGACGTGACTTGATATTTTAGATTTTTGGTTAAAAAGAATAAAACAATTATTTAGATTTTTTAAATTAATGTACGTGTCTATGTTTAATCTACTAGCCATTCCGGGTTGACAAGATACTACGATGCACAGTTGAATATCTAAGGATGGTTCACTAACCAGTCAGGTATTGAGAACAGTTATGCAATGTTATTGTCAATGAATTGAAGTGCATTTATTTTTCAAATGCCCTTTATATGATAACGTTACAGAGCTACAGTTAAGAAACAAAATTAAATCAAATTTATTTGAAAGGGGAAATTTCTTGTGCTATTTTGCTAATCCAGATATAATATTGAATAATTTTGTCTTTTCATAAAACAGTGATTAGAACTGAGGAGGGTGGACATTTAGTCAGTAATGTATAATCTGTGCCATATTACCTTATATGTTCTAATGTTTTGTTAGTCTATATTCATGCTGCCATATAATTGATGTGTAATTACTGTGTAATTATTGTGTAATTATAAATGTGCTAATATTATAATGAAATAAACCTAAATAATGTATCATGGTTCAGCATTAACTGGACATTCCTACTTGTTCGCGGAAAATTAATATCTCAAATCCTTATAATTTACGTCATATACGATGACTGGTAAACAGTTCAGAATCAATCCGTTTTACATTGGATCAACAGAGTGACCTCCCTTGTCGCTGACACAATGTCCTAGGTGGGATTCGCTCGAGAATTTCACAGATGATTAAGCATTGGTTTAAATGATATTTTATTGATAATAAATATAAGTATATCGGAACCTGTAAATACATTCTTACATATTCAGTACCACATTGGCCGACTCCATGTACATGTAGTTATCGTTGGTCAAAGGGAATATTTTGTAAACCATTCAACTTTATTGCTTGTTTTATACAAACAATATTACGTAACATGGATAGAACTACAAAGCAACACAATACAAACAAAAACTACAGTATATGCATAATATTGATACTTAAGCACAAACTACAAGCCAGCCTAACCGAATTGAACGTGACCCACGGGAAATAGGAGCACTTATTTAACCTGAGACTATTTCTGCAATACGTATGGGCAAGTTTTGATTAAATTTTGCCATAGAGCATGATTGGATGCTTAAAAGAAGAAAAAAAACTTTGTATCTAAATGAAGAGTTTCACGGTTTCTCTACTTTAAAGATGATGTGTACCCCCGCCCAATTCTTCCAGGGGTAAAGGGTGTGACCCAATAGCCAACAACGATAATAGAGATTAACCGACAAAGGAGTGAGCAAATCAGGATGAAGTTGGTTTGAAGTATACTTGTGTTAATGACATTCAATGTTTAATGGAGAGTGCCCCTCCTATTGGGACAGAAATACTGAAACAAGTAGCGATTTACAGAAAGTTTAGAATTACAGAAATCTAGAAAGAAGTGAGGTCATAGTTGTCCACCTACCCTCCCAAACGTAATTTTTACCTTTGAAAAAGTAATTCCATAATTTACTTTTCCTCGTCATTATTTCGCATGAATGTCATGCCAAGCCAACTAAACAACGCAGAAAATCCTCAAATTGTAATTTGCCCAAGACCAAAAATATCAGGGGTGGCTGGACTTACCCAGGACCGATTCAGGTATATATTTTTTGTTTCCATTTCTATTGTGCTATATACGGGAATGGAAAAAAGAAAATTGTTCCTGGCAAAAAAGCCGTGTACATTCTATTTATTTGCCCCAAATCAGTGGAAACTCGCGTAATCGAAATTGAATGCAGTTTTACCTTGAAACTAATTGATGTTTCAAAATCATATAAAGCCATAGTTTGTGGTAGCGCCTCACAAC